ATGAATGCTCGTCAATGAATTTACGGTCGGGGGGCGGTCGCGTGGAAAGTCACGTGGCTGGGCCGTCGACTTTATGACTACTATCACCAACAGTTTCCTCTTACGCTATCTGTTCCCGACATTTTATGGTGCATATCAATACTTTGAGACTGTAGGCCTATCCCCCCACACATACCCATTCAACGCCTTTGTATTCTTAACCGCAGTCGGGGAATCCTTCACAAAACAGTCACGTGTCGTCACATTATAAGCCCAAAGTGACCCCCACCCCCAAGGGAAGTCACTAGAATGTCAAGGCAATGAGGTGACTGCGTCCCTTCCTCCCTTTACAAAAGTTCATGTAAACGCACGCTCCATATATAAACACACGCTAAAGAGCCCTCCCGAGCACCATGCGTTTAGGCGGAGACTACTGTACTCCAAAGAAATCAGAGTGTTGTTATCAGGTTTATAATTGTTGCTTTAAAGAAGATCAAAACGATCTTTGTGTTTATCCTAGTCCTGTCAGGTCAGACATTTTTACATATAGGGGCCTATAGCTCCATGTTTTTCAAGTTTTTGAAGTGTGTGAAGTTTTCGTAGAGTTGAGATTGCATTTTATCTTAAAATGCAATCTCAATTATCTTTTTTCTGCCTCATGATTTGTCTTCAGTTTTGGACAGTTTCTACATATGGTATATGTCTGTAGTATAATAATTGTTCCAAGCTCTGTTAGTGACAGCTGGTTCCCAGATGATGATCCTTCACCTTGGTTACCTGCAGAAGGTTTAGTTTAAATTCGTTAGGAGATAACATTTTCCATCGTCTTTTCTTGCACATTTCTTCTTCCAATAACACCCAGGTGAGAGAGACCAAGTGATATGAGGAGCCCCTCAAATGTATCCTTTGGGGAATCATTGATGTCCAGATTAGCATAAAACTCAATTATAAATTATTGATAAATAGCAAAGTGATACAAGTAAACAGAAAATCTTTCCTATTAAAACTTTGGTTCGGTTAGTGAAGATTGCTCTAATTTATTTTACTCTCTTTCTATCCCATAGTCCTATCATTTTCTCTTTCTTTTTCTCTTTCATTTTTTCTCCTTCCCCCTCCTACTCTCCCTTCTCCCTCTGTCTGTGCCCCCAAGCTCATCTCTCTCTGGCAGTGCTGGTTATAACAAAGCTTCCTTCCCAGTATTTTTCATAGGCCTCTAGGTCTATTTACCATCTTGGGTTTTTTCCCTAGCATAAGCTCAGCAACGTATGACTCGGTGCTTTTCTTCGTGTTAAGCAGATTTTTTTGTCCTTCACACCATGGATGCACACATATCTTCAGTATTGCTAGCACTCCTATACTGACAAAACCCAGATCTTACTGTGACATAGTTTGCTTGTGACACCGCCAGTATGCAACTTGTGCTTGTCGACGTACAGTATTTAAGGTTAAAATGAAAATGATGCTTTTTTTTAGTCTTGCCTTCCTATGAGGAGGAAGGCTCTGACAACTGTGCATTATCTTCCTTGGTCAGATACTTCTGGCTATTTTGCTCTCTCAGCCCAGCCCTGCAAAGTTTTTTTCTGCCATTTCGATGCACGTGGTCCAGTATCTTTCGCACTATATTCACCCATGCCGGTCACCAAGTAACACTTATAGCTGGGTGTACCGATGAAGAGAAGCACATCCTTTACTTTAATGGAACCCTCAGTTTTATGGTTACAGGTCTGACAGACATGCATTGTTGACTGCAAATGCAGACGTGCCCAGAGCTTGAAGATGATCTATTAAAATTTTGAAGAATTGTTCCCATGGCTTACATGTTTAGAGAAAACATTTTATACCACCAACAGTCCATGGCTAACATGTGAACTGGGGAAACTCCTTGGAACATTTTTATGTACTGAACTTGTTTGTTACTGTGGGATCAAAGATATTTTCATCCTACTTCTAACATTCTTCTTTCATTGACACGGTGGAGTGTACATAAACCTAGTGTACTGTATCAACAGTTTGGACTTCTGAATCTGATTACTTTCCCGGAGTATCTGCTTCCTGTTCCTTTCTTGTGGTAAGTGGACTTCTCTCTTGGTATCCTTTTCTCAAGATTGCTCTAATTTTCTTGTCTCCCTGTGTCAGCACAAAGAGTTGAGCACAGATACCTTTGTACATGTGATACACTTTCCAGCACGTGCACGACTCTCACAAAACCATCAGTTTATCTTATTCTGTACATATATGTTCTCATGGAAATTACAACTTTTCATAAGTGATAAGGTTATTTTAACAGGTTAGGAACTCGAGAAAAGATATTTTAAAGAAACAGGTTGAAATGTTTGGTTTGACTCTGACCATGCACTTTTTGACCCCTTCTATTTTTGTAAATAAATTGTATCCTGTGCAAGTTGTTACGTAATGTGGGTGCCCCGGAAATGTGAAAATATTTCTACGCAGTCTCTGGGTGCTACTATACATCACATATTTATTCCATGGAGGTCTCTGAAGCTGTTGTGTATTTGTCAAATGTCAGTGCAAATTTGTTGATATGAAGCTAGCTGGTGTTCAGTCACTAATTAATTTAAATAAAAAGGAAAGAATTTTATTGGAAAAGGATGTTAAACATTTCCAAGACCCATTATTGACTCGCAATCATGCATTGGGAGGGGCAAGCAGCTTCATATGCCATGACATTTTCAACCCTTTTAATAGGCCAGGCAAAAGTATTGGCGTTTCTCTTTACTGAGAGCTATTTCTATTATTAAATTGAGATTTTCTGCAGATTTCTAATGAATGTGCAATTTTTATCTCATTTTAAACCTCATTCACAAAGAAAGCTTCATCAATGGAATGCTCAGACTTTTAAACTTAACCGTTGATGGTGGTTTTCAACTGCAACAGACGTAATGCTAGTTTCTAAGAAGTTTGGGAGGTAACTTGGATATTACCTTTAGTATTGTTATTGATATTATATTCTTCTTCTTATTATTTTTATTATTATTATAGTTATTATTAGAACTAGATTTTTCATATTATAGATATTATTATTAGACATACATATTGTTATTTTTTGTATTATTAGTGATAGAAGTACATGGTAGATCTAGTAATAGTAGCAGTAGTTGCAGTGGAAGCAGCAGTATCATTGATTTAACTATTATTATTATTATTATTATTATTATTACTCATCATAATAGTTCTTGTTATCAATATTTTTCTTATTAGTTTTTAATTCGTAATAATGTAATATTACTTTATTTTATTGTTGTTATTATTTTTTGAGAGGCAACAGGGACCAAATAGAATTGCAGAGAAAGATGAACGTAGTCTCTATTGACAAAATGAGCCTTAAGATGGGATATCAAGTTCCTTATTGTTTGTAATAACAATAAAATGTGTTTTGTTTTTTTCAGGTGCTGGTATGGTATCATATATAATATTCTCAGTGTTATTTTTTGTCTTTCCGAATTCAATAACTCTGTGCTGTATTCCTTGCCAAGTTGTTCCTAAATATGCTCAACTCTATGTGCATAAAAGTTGTTAAAAAAACACAGTTGTCAGAAGAAGGGTTAATAGTCACCACTAGTTATCATTTTCTCATGAAATCTCTCTCAACTTGCAGCGACACATTCTCTGTTTCTCTATTTGCACTCAGGGGTCAATGTCAAAGATCAAGTAAAAAAGATTTTATGTGTGTCATTCAGTACTATTTATTCTCTCTGTAATGGAAAAATAAAAGCCACCTACAAAAATGTTCATAAAGAGCTGGTCATTATTTCATAATGATATGCCTCAGGGCTATTGTGCTAAACTAAAAAAAAAAACGAACCCAAACTACTGATGAATCAAAACAGACAAAATCCATTTATATTATTTAAATGAATACCTCATCCTCATAAGTCCTTTCAATTTTTTTTGGAGTCGGTTGAACAGGGCCATCTTTACAGAAGATTTCATTGATTGTTGGTTTGGTTTTGTTGTTTTGTCTTGCTCCAAAAGGGAAAAAAATCAGTCCAAGCCAAAAAAAAATCACTTTAGCACATATATATTCACAGAAAAGCGAATAACAATGATTTGTTTTACGCTGAAACAATGAAAGGAACAACATGTATATTAGAACTTTACTGAATTTGTGCTTTTACCACTAATCAGTTCAAATTTTACCATCAGGGTGTGACAAATATGTGGGGGGGGGGGGGGGGGGGGGTCCAATTAAAACTGAAACAGATTGGTGAAAGTTATTGGTCTTTACTCTACTTGTTGATGGTTTTCTTCGTGTTTTTTGTGCTTTTACTTGATATTTGGTTATTCTTTTCTTACTTACCCACTTTTCCTTCTATCATTTTTTTTCCCTTCCCTTACATTTTCCTAGACTCAATGTGTTTTATGAGCTCATACCTGCCATGAGGATCGTTTCACTTGTTCATGATCTTTGTATTATATGTCATGTTGCATTTATTATTAAAGAGATTTTTCCCCTTGAATTGTGAATGTTCATCTTAATTTATGAAATAAATAATATAAAGTGCATGACCTTGTTTGCATAACATCAGTGTTGGTCCTTGTCTCCACATATGAAGTGAATATAGCCAGTCCATAATTTAGAGTACTCAACACTACACTACACATAGATGTATTCATACAACTTTTTAAAAAAATCATTCATCCGGCATCTGTGGTGTAGTGGTTAGGCACCTTGCCGTGGCATGTTGGAATTCCTGTGTCAATTCCAGTGTGGGGACAATTTTAATTGAGTATCTTGGGTCCTTCTCTCAAACTTTGTATCCCTCTCCGCCTTGGTTGGCAATGACAGGCAGGATCGAAGCCCATCTCACAAATGATCTAAATTGTGTTCAGGACTTCCTAGTTTTTCTTCCTTATCCAAAAATACAGAAAAAACTCAGGCAAGAGTAGATGCAATCGAAATCTTCCAATTCAGCCACTGATAGTTATGGAAAAAAGCGACTAGGTCAGATAGACATCTTGAACAGTGTCCGTAAAAAACATGAGGCTTAAGTTCTATCATAATCATTCACAATATTTTTTATTTTTTTTTAATGTAGGTGTTTTTACACCCCTATCAACACAATCTGGATTATTTAGTTGTCAGGCCCAACACAGGCTGAGAAGAATACAACATCCTAGCAGAAAGACAGAGATACTTAATAAATATTTCTCCCCACTCAGGAGTCGAACTACGCTCTCCCGTGTGTCACAGCAAAGTGTCTAACTGCTACACTATAGACGCTGAAAATACTCATCATGAGGACAAAGGACAAGAAAAACTAGCACATGGTGCTCACTTACGTAGTGTCCTTGCTACTTGATGTTCACACTTAGTCTATTGATTCCAAACTGTCCATCATTAACTCACTGAGTACCAGTAATTTGGGCTGAACGAACTCCTGGGTATCATTTGAAAGTCACACTGTCTATACTTGTCCAAAGATTTTAATAAAAATTGGGAGTTTCAGCACATACATATCAAGGTTTGTTTAAAAAGAAACAGAAACTAATGTTCTTAATTAGTGTTTTAATTTGACCATACCTTTCCCCTATTATGTTACAGATTGTTTCATTTATCAATGAACATAACATGGAAAAGAATTCACTCCAGACAAACATCCAGACATTAAAGGATCTCTAAAAGAGAAAAAAGTTCTCTGTCTTCATCAACCTAACAATGTCACAGGAATGGTGTTCAGTGCTCAGGTTAGCAGGTTAAAATGGATCTTGTTACACTAAAGAGTTCCAGTTTGAATTAAAGGGAACAGGTAGAAGAGTTTACACAAAAGAGTTCCAGTTTTAATTAACCGAAAAGGGAACAGACAAAAATTTTTACACTACAGAGTTCCAGTTTGAATTACGAGAAAAAGGAAGTTTCAGTTGTTGAACAGATGGTAACAGCAGTTGCGGTGCTAATGCAGGACAAACCGTTCTGAAATTCAATATTATATCACAAGTATGATGACAGGAGTCAGAAGTGGCACACAAAAAAATATAGCAAAAGTTGCAATGACGAGAGTCAGAGGGTCAAAAAAAAAGTTTGCACTTGGCAATATCAATACTTCTCAATCACAAATATTATTATTTCAATCACACACATCTTTGGACATATGAACACCTCTACTCCTCTCTGCACCTTGTACACACACACATATAAAAACCAAGCCACTGACGTCAGGAGTCACCAAATATTGACATCACATCACTATCTGGTTCACACAAAATAGCAGGAGACTTTTTCCCGGCCTCAGACTTGTCCACTCTGGGAGGTTTCTCCTTTTTCTTTCTGTGTTTCGCACCTATAGGGACATCTGGCCGCTCTGACAGCTCTTTCACATTTTCCATAAACCTGGGTTTGAAAAGAAGTGAAATCAAGATTGATGCATTCTCTCCTTGTTATCAGTTTCTTTTCGAATGAGAAACAGTGTTAAAGTAATCTATCTACACATACAACAACAGAAAAGATATTGTTGTTATGCTTGTAAGCATTTTACACTACCATCAACACAAATTAGGCAGTTTACTTAACCCCCCCCCCCCCCCACGTCCATTAGGGACAACCATGTTGAGAGGGATATACAGTACAGCACACTAGCAGACAGAGATACTTAATAAAACAGCTTCCCACGTTCCAAAATTGTCAAGTCACATCTTCTGAATAAAAAAGCAAAGCGCCTAACCATTACATCACAGATGCTGGTTTTTATTACGATATTCTGTATTTGTTCAAGTAAATGCCCAAAAGACAGGGCAAGGATTGTACAATTTCAGCTAGTCTAGAATCCACATCAGAGTACCCATCACGTTCATTTCTTTCATTATATAAATATACTGTCATCCCAACATAGATCTTCCAAACAGCAATAGTTGCTGAGGGTGAAAAAAAAAAAAAATTTTTTCATGTAGATATAAGTGTTTTTTATGCCCCCATCAACACAATTTAGACCATTTAGGAGACAGGTATCTGACCCTGCCTGTCAGGTCTAACCTAGGCTGAGAAGGATACAGCGTCCCAGCGGAAAGATTGAGATACTTGAAAAAAATAAGAATTCATGCTACAAAGGAATTGATCTTAGGTCTTCTGCATGCGACAGTGAAGCGCCTAACTGCTATACCACAGACGGCGGTCCCAAGGGTGATTTGTTACATATAGCTTTGATTACTCAAGAGGTGAAAATAGGAATGCCTTCATGAAAACTTCCTGAATTAGACGCATGAAATGTTATAAGTTTAACACCCTTATTTAAAAAAATACTGCCACATCCGTCAACAGGCGAGATGAAATTTAACATTCATCATCAATAAATGAGTGGGTCCATTTACAGTAATGGGGAAACTACCAGAGCTTATCAAAATTCAGTCATTTTTTAGATGAGAAGGCATATTTTCTCTGAAACACATCTCATAACACATAAAAAAGCTTCAAAGTTAAAATTTTATTCAAACATCATTCATTCTTTAGACAGAAAATAAAAAACCACAAAATAGACAAAAGTGCCACTGGTTAAAATTCAATCAACCCTTCCAGCCCCAGCCATTTTTATGCACTCCCTAACCCCAGTCCCAACCAATACAGCAGTATTTCATAAAAAGAGGCAAGCATTCTAAAAAGTGATGTAGTACCTTTGTAATGAGATTTAGATAATAAAATAACAATGTTTAAAGGTCATTGAACAAATATGAAAATTAAAGTTAGGTTCTCTAATTTTTAAAAATGCGCAAATTCAGTACCCCTCAAAACTGAGAATATATGCTCTCGGGACGGTGGGAGGTACAAGCGCTGCTGAAAATATACGTGCATGGGGCTGGAAGGGTTAACAGAGAATTAATTTTTGTTTTTCGAACTGAACCTCAGTTCAAGTCTGTGTCTTTCACCTGGTTCTCTCGAACCATCCACAATTTCTCTTAGTAAATATAATCATGTCCTAGCTCCTTAAGTGGACACCCAGATTTCAATTATCAGGAACTTTCAACTCAGCTCACCTCACAATCCGAGAAAGGTTCATTTCCATCTTCTTGTTGGCACATTCTGTCAGATACTCCACATACTGAAACAACAAGAAAGTCGGTCTTCATACTTTTTTTTATAGTATAAGTATCACTATACTTGAGCCATAACAAGTCTTGAACTAGGGTATTGACAGTCTTTTTAGAATTGACTCCTGAAATTTCAGACAGGGAAAAATTATCTATACTTCAAATGCATCCTCATCAGTCCAAGTTACAAAGAACAAAGGCAATACTTTTTTTTCTGAAACTACAATATAACCTTCATATGCATTCAAATTCAGATGACAAAACTGTGTAGAGAAAAAACACATTCTGAAGCTGAAAGAGCTTCCCCTTCTTACAGTGCTTCTTGAGGGCGACTGTTTTTTCAAGGGCACTACAAAGGCTATTTCCCCAAATCTTACAGGCTGTCAACAGGGGGGAAAATCCCAGACTCCATCTCTCTCTGCCAATACTCATCTATCTTTCAGACTGTCATCTATTTGTTTGTCTATCTATCTTTTTGTTTGTCTGTCTATCTCACTATCTGTCTGTCTGTCCGCCCATCTATCATCTATCCCTCAATCTCTCTCAATCTATCTATCTATCGATCTATATCTATTGATCTATCAATACTCACGTCATGCGAGACCAGCAGTTTTCCTTGGTCAGATAGTGGTGCTTCCAGTCCATGAGTGCTTCTTACAGCCTGTGAGGTGAACAACACAAAGTTTATATGGTCACTTTTAAGGACAAGCGGGCAAACCCAGATTTCTGGAGGTTTCCAGAAATCTTGACCTACACCAAAAGTAGGCATTGCCCTACCTACAGGAGAAGTTTGGATCTTGACCTACACCAAAAGTAGGCATTGCCCTACCTACAGGAGAAGTTTGGTTTCTGTAGTGTGAGTGTGTATATTTGTTCGGGTATAGTGAGAAAACTCTTCTTGTCTTTTACAGAAACTGAACAAGGGGCAAAAATTTTATCATCGATTTTCTCAAAACAGCATTTTTCAAGATAGCCCCCTTGTGCTTAAAAAAAGCAACCATACAATCAAAATTGTCCAAGATGACCTTCCATTGCAGAGGAGAAAGTATCTTCAGCAGTATTGTTACAAAATAGAAAAAATGCAAGGGTGGAAGTGAGAAGAAGTCATTTGTAGAGGGGGGATGTCTTGAAGGGGTGGCTGTTAGAGGCGATTTAACTGAAGTTGTTTCCGGGTTTTTCTAATATACACAAAAAGAATGAAGCATAATAACACATCTTAAAAGATCCAGAGATGCTATCTTGAAGTAGGGCTCCTTTTGGGACTGCTGGATTGTTGGTGAAAACAAATATTGAACTCAGGTACAATAAGAGGGACATAAAGTGTTAGACAGGCACAATGTGCTGTTGTTCAGTTGCAATTATACTGAGCCAGTTATAATAACAGTAGCATTTAGTCATGAACACATTTTGATTATAGTGCCATAGAAGAGAAATAGAAGGTACAGACCACAAAACATTCCTTTAAAAGAAAAGCATACACAGCTTTAAAGAAAACATATGACTCGAAGCATGACATCTTATTTACACAAAGGTAGTTGATACATCGAAAGAAACTCTCTAAAATTGAATTCATACGTGAAGCAATTAAAGCTTTTGGAAGTTTACAATTTTGGCCTGATACAAGATTTTAGGAGAATATGCATACAAACTGACATTTTTAAAGAACGATAGCAAGAACACAATACAATTCAGAACTAATAGTTAGACTGCTTTAGTACTTAGACACGGCACAGGAAAAACAAATATGGTTATACGATGCCTTATTAGGGCAGGACGGAGTCAGCAGAGACAAAAATTTATACAGACCCCATGGTCTACAAGCAAGGCATGGTAAGGAGCAGTCTGCCTAATATACTGAGCCTGGGATGAATAGGCACCCGCAGAAAGCAAGATACTTTAAGATTGTCGTTAATATTCAGGCACCATAACACCGCTCAGTCATTTCCATATAAAATAAGAGAACAGATGATCTGCTGAGAACTCAGGAATCAAACTTACCACCATTGTCTTTCCTTTGTTACCCACTGTGATGCCCGAATTCCTAAAGCCAGCTGCCACTGCCACTTGGTGCTGAAGAGAATGGAAAAACGTTTTCAACTCACCTGATTTTTAATTTTATTAATGCACCTCCTGCTACTTCCTCAAATATAAGTACTTTGACCAGGACTTAAAAATATTGATTTAAGTTTTAAGCTAAAATTTTACAACAATATTTTTCCACCAAAGGGATTAAATAAAAAAAAGCAGACTCTACCCATGTGGACTGTCAAGCTGGAGAACATCAACCAAGTAATCCCCCTCCAAACCCTCTACACACACTTTTCTGAATTAAAAAAAATTCAAGCGATTCAAAGTCAACCGGCAAACAACTTGAGAAATGTTTAGCTGATTTTTCTCCAATTGACTTTTATAGGCTGCGTTCTTCTTATTATTCCCAAATCTGGGCTTGAAAGTTCATAATTTTTATTCAAAAGCAGCAAGTTCTGAGGGGCAATACTAGAAAACAGAGAAGAAGAAGAATATATTCCAGTGCAAAAATGAACTTCCTCAAAAGAATATCAAATATATGGGGTTTTTTACACACTGGTTGGCAGCTATGTGGGGAGGAGAATTTTTTTTACATAGAAAACAAACAAAAAAAACCCCTCCAAATCATGTTCTTGTTCTTCAAGCAAATTTGTGATGCTTTCGTTTGAACATTATTTTTTAAAAATTTCTGTACTTTTATCCTATAATACATTCTTCTCCCTAACTAATTCAAATAAGATTAGCATTTCCAAGAAAGACATGCATTTGTGTGATGAAGAACAGCTTTTCTTTCACCCTTTTCAAACTGGTAATGATAAATAATAATATAATTTAATTGTACTTGATATCTGGTAAATTCCTGCTATGCTTACAGCAGTCATCACAGAATAATGTCACTTCCCATCCTAAATTTATCAGAACAACTCAAACATTCATGAAATGCAACTCTACAGTATTTCCTGCCAACCTCTGCTTTATGGACTTACAATGATGGCCAGCAATATCAGGGCTTCTGTCGTGAAAATCTGCTAACCTTTCATGGCGCCATTATGAAGTGTTTAGCTTTTAAAAAAGTAAATGTTAAAGAGAGAAACATTGGACATTTTATTCAGAAACCATCAACCCTTTCTTCAGTTACCCATGCATAACATTAAAACCTTACAGATACTTACCATCTGCTGTGCAGCTGAAAGTGAATCACACTGAATGTGCATGACCATCGGCTCAAACTTGAACACAGCCTCTTGGGTAATATCCTCCAGAGCCTTCAGCTGAAAACAAACAAGCACTTTTATTTTTTTAAAGTGTCATTATGTATGCACAAAACGCTAGATCAATATAACACTCACATAAAGTAGGCATATATACAGACAAACAGGCAGACAGAAAGATCATTTAAAACAAAAAAAGACAGAGGAATTCATTAAAATTTAAATGTTGTAACTTACATTTCAGATGACTGCAAGTCTATGTTATTTTATGGAAAAGATGTTTGTACAAAAGTCTCACTTCTTCATTGTTCATTTGCTTACATGTGGTAGTTATGCAACCAGTATTACTCACAATGTTTTGGGCTTTAACTAGTTCATGAGATACATGCAGCCACTTGCAGCCTTTCTTCTGAACTCCCTCAGAATTCTGGAACAGAAAAGCCAAATGGGAATGATTCTTGTCACAGGCACAGAAAAATCAGAACGTCAAAGAAAATAAAAAACAAGAACAAGTAAAAACTTTCCACAAATTACCTCTTATGCCAGACTAAGATCATGGTTGGGGTCATAGTTTTTAAAAAGGATGTGCAGATCTGGATGTTTGACAACAGCCATTTTCCTTCGACCGAGAGACCTTTCAACTTCTAAATCTCCGCTGTCTACTGCAACTTCACTTAAACCTAACTTTTCAGAACACCAGCAAGCTGTTGCATCATGTGTAACCCCTGTTAAAGAAAAAGCGCACTGACACACATGCAGACACATTTACACATGTCTATGCAGTTCTGCAGACTCTCCACACACAAATGAAGCATGCAGGCTAAACCAAACACGTCTATGATCATGTATGCAAATGATAATCACGTACTTAGATTTCCCCTATTGCTCTTGGTTTACAGAGAGGTCGCTGGCTAACACTCTTACCATGCCCCCCCCCCTCCCCATCTCAGCCTGCTACTTTGGTATTTCAGTAAACAAACTAAATTTGTGGTCATATTAAAAAATTTGATACCCTTGCTGATGCCAGAAAAAAAGAAACAAACAATAAAAGAGAAAAAAAATTAAAGAGAAGAAAAGAGCTTGGATTGCTTAATTATTATACTAGTTAACACGAATTAAAGCCCTCTCCCATTTGGTCTAAATTATTTACAACCCTTCTACTGTAATACAAGAGCATTAATTACTCTCGTGCTCATGTCTCGTTGTGTTCGTAGACGCTCTCTGTTCCTTGAACCATAATTTATTGTGTGCAGGCAGAGACGCCTGCTAGCAGAGACCGGTCCCACATCCCGCGCACTAGCATCGGTAGTGAGACATAATATAGTTTACTGGAGAGGCGAAAAAAGTTTTTACATTATTATTATTCTATTTGTTGTTCATTTAAGATTCAATTTAGCAAAGATCTAGCTAAGATGATCATATATGAGTCACGACGAGATGGAATCAGGCGCACGTCAAAATAATGAAAGTGAAAAAAATTGGCATTTTTCTGCAGGGGATTTTACAGAAAAACGTTGATTAAAGGAATAAAGGATGTAAATTTTCAGTTTTCAGTGACTCTCAAGCTAAGGAAATAACTCAACTTTAGCGGCCATTTTCTCGCTAATCTTACCCCCACCTCCTTCAATCGCCATATATCTTGACTTGTATCCGAGATAAATGGATATTTTTTTTATCAAAAGCAAGGCAAACCGACAGGCCTTAGGATGATACCAATAACTTCATATGCCCAAAAATTGACGAGCACCTGATTCTGCCGCGTCGTGGCACTCAGTTTCAAAAGTCTGCATTGTAATTGTCCATTTATATATATATATACACATATATATTATATCCCATATATTATATCCCATTTCGCGACTTCAGTTCTGTAAGAGCACTCCTTCATCTCATGGGATGGAACGCTTGAAGCACGCTGAACTATTACACTACAAAAATATAGATCTACATCACTGTTGATGTCCGGGGGGGATGAGAATAGCATCAGCATCATCATTGCCTTTCTCCCCCTGCACCAGGGTATAGGCCACGGACAAACACCCCCCACTCTTCTCCATCCTGGGCTAGCCTCTTGACGTTATTCCATGTCTTTCCACTTTTCTGTACATCGATTTCTGTGATTCTTCTCCAAGTTCCACGAGGTCTTCCCCTTGATCTCTTGCCCTGTGGGTTCCAATCCAAAACTTTCTTTGTTATGCAGCTGCCTGACTTCCTGAGAGTATGTCCAATCCATCGCCACCGCCTTCTTCCTACCTCATTTCTGACTGGGATCTGTCTTGTTTTCCTTAACACTTCCACATTAGTGACCCTGTCTGTCCATCTGATCCTCAGTAACTCTCTTAGACACCTGTTCAAGAAAACCTGGATCCTCTTTATACAAGTCTGCGATGCGTTCCATGCCTCACATCCATACAACAGGACCGACTTCACGTTTGAATTGAAAATCCTCAGCTTTGTTCGAAGTGAGATCTCTCTGGTCTTCCAAATCCTATCCAAAGATATGAAAGCAGCCTGTGCTTTACCAATGCGGGACTTTATTTCAGCACCTGTTCCTCCCTCTCTGTCAATTATGCTCCCAAGATAATAGAAGGATTCAACGTTTTCTAGGGCCTTTCCTTTTATTGTGAATTGCTCCTTTCGTTGTGCATCTGTCCTTAGTACCTTTGACTTTCCGGGGTGGATCCTCAATCCAACAGACTCCGATAGGCTGTTTAATACTGAAGTCTTTGCTTGTATCTGTTCCTGGGTGTGCGACAGAAGCGCCAAGTCGTCTGCGAGATCCAGATCGTCCAACTGTGTCCATGGTGTCCACTGTATACCATTTCTGTGTCCTCTGGTGGTTTCCTTCATCAGCCAGTCGATTGCCAATATGAAGAGGAACGGTGATAGTAAGCATCCCTGTCTCACTCCAGTCTTGATGTCAAAGCTGTCCATGAGCTGGCTATCATGTACAACCCTGCAACTTGTCCCTTCGTACATGCTTTTGATGAGGTTCACCAACTTCTGTGGGATTCCGTGGTGTCTCATTATCTTCCATAGTGTCGCTCGGTCTATACTGTCAAAGGCCTTCTCGTAGTCGAGGAATTTGACAATCAGCTGGGAGTTCCACTCCAGGGACTGTTCCACAATAATCCTCAGCGTGGCAATCTGGTCGGTGGTTGAGCGATTTTTCCGGAAACCGGCCTGTTCATCCCGTAGTCTTGGATCCGTTCCTGTCTTGATTCTTTCCAGAACGATTCTGTTGAAGACCTTACCTGGTATTGAGAGAAGAGTGATCCCTCTATAGTTGCTGCAGTTGCTGAGATCCCCCTTTTTTGGAAGCTTCACGAGGTGTCCTTCTTTCCAATCCTTTGGGAACTTGCTCTCATTCCAGATCCTGGTAAACAGTGGGAGTAGGATGTCTGCCGTCACATTGGCATCTGCTTTTAGGGCTTCAGGTGGAATCTGGTCAGGACCGGCCGCTTTACCTTTGTTCAGCTTCTTAATGGCATCCAGAATCTCTTGTTTTGATGGAGCATCACAGCAGATAGGTAACTCATTTCTTGCTATGAGAATAGCAGGTCATGAGCTATTTTTACCAGGGGTGAGAAATAGAGGAGGCCATTTAGGAACAAGGGTCGGAAGTCGGAAGGGACGTCATGCTGGACTCGATTCAGAGTCTGAATAGTCACTTTGAAAAAACATTGTTTGGATCCTACCAAACTGGGCCCCAAAAAGCTCCTGTAGTGTGTGGCCTTACTATTTGGTACAACTACTACTACTTGGTTAGAGAATAGGCGTCATTGCATGCGGCACAATGCCATGGCTGCTCCTTTCTCTTCTCCAGGATCCATGAAAGGGTCTGCCTGCTGATCCAGCCAGTTAACAGCTGGTTGGATATTCTTCTGGCTTTTCCATGCAAGTTGCTGTCCCTCCCCAACCTTCTAGAGACACCAGCTTCCCTTCCATCCATTGTGTGTGAAGTGGTGCCTTCATGGGTCTCAACTCAGAATTCTAAAAAAGGAGGAACTTTTCAGGTGATCGCCACAGAAGCCCATTTTTGCGGAAACACCCATTATTATAAAAATACTGTTGAACCCTAGAATGCTGAAATAAAAACCATCAATTTATCAAAGCAAGGTTATTTCACACCAATTCGAGGGTTTGGGAGATAATTTCAAGTAAGAGTCACGTACCAAATATTTACAATCTTGATTACGTACAGAAAGTGGTGGCGCCTGGGGTCTTGTGCAACTTATGAAATTTATATTTTCCCTTCATCATATTCGCCTGTATATAAACTACATGTATATAAAAAGGAATATTGTTTTGAGCCTAGAACCAGAATATCGACTGTCATGATTCATATCACATAGATTTATATATATATATATATATAGGCCTTATATAATATAATAAACGTGAAAGACAAAAATTAATGCTCAAACTCAAAGTAGAGTAGAATAGCCCAAGTAGACCTATTCAGTGTGAGAGGTGTAAGAACTGTGGGAGGACAAGATGCAGTGATACCGAAAATCTGCGAATCTTGAACAGAAAGCTAAAATATAGAGATTTGATTTACTGTCACCAATCTAATGAAACGCGAATGCTTCTAGGCCCCTAAGTTCCATAACACACTTACAAGTTATGACCCAATTTCACACAAAAGACCTGCACCAACGCACACTTTACTTTGCAGAGAGCTGTGGATCTAGTAGTAATCAAAATTCTAAACATTAAACATTTGCTTTTATTTTAAGTTGGTTTGTCCTCAGGTGTTGCGTCCAGCCCTCCCCCTATCCCCGAGTGTGTCTTTAAAAAAAATCAATAATCTTCCCCCCCATTCCCGAGTCCTGTACTTTGAAGCGCTTAGAACGTGTACAGGGTCATTGACCGGTCACAATGGCGAGCTCGACAAGACGCTATAACTTTCTTTTCATTTTTTTTTTGGGGGGGGGGGTTACCCCCACAAGTGACAGCACGGTGACAAATATTGATTTATTTTCATGGCGACACCCTGTTTGTAATGCCAAACCAGCATGTTACAATAAATGTTGCGTTATCAGAAAATTAATGACAAACTTCTGGGTGGTAACGAAAGTGAAAGCAGATCTTGATTTTCCAGTCGAGCCTTGGTGACACAATTCCTCTTGCTGCCAAAGCCGCCAGTTCGTGTGAAACATACTGTCAGAGCCGAATTAATATATATACATCACAATTGCGACCAGCAGAAATGAACTTAAAGACGTTTTATAATAAATAATTGGATTTGGTTTTCAAAATATTCAAGATCTTTTAGGTATTTTCCCGGGTCTCGGCGATTTTTAAAAAATTCCCGGGGCCTGGCAGTCACCCTGCTCCCAACAACTCTCTTTCTGATTGGCCCGCTGTCGCAGTAGAGGAGTTTAGGCCTAGCGGAGGAAATGGCGGTAGCGGAAATCCGCTAAAAAGCGGACTTACTATTGAGACCCATGTATCATATGTGCCTTCATCCTCTCTGTGGTCATTGAACCATTCTGTAAATGCTGCCATGACTGTTGGTGGATCTAATTGCATGGTGGCTGCGCCAATCTCAGCCTGGCCGGCTAGTGTGAGTACACGGACACAGTGTGAATATTCTCACCCAGGGTCATAATACTCATATTATTCTCACCCACTTTTTTCATTTCCGCCCTTTTTATTTCGTTCAGGTTTTGAGTTATTATATATAAAATGTCTAGAATCTAGATCTAGATCTAGATTCAGATTCTAATCTAGATAAAAAAAGATCTAGAATCTAGATCGATCTAGATCTGACCCACATAAAAATCCTTGAAATTTTCTTTTTCTCCCCCAAGCAGAATCCCAAACCTTTTTCAGTCTTTCAACCAAATTGTAAGAGAGCCTTGCAAAGCCTTGTACAGCTGACACAGGTTCAAAAGACATGAACAAAAGAAATCAAATAGGCTTAGATCACCCGGGGTGAGAATAAAAATACGATCTACCTCTCACCCCGGGTGAGACTTGCCAGCGTAGGCTATTCTCACCCGGTGTGAAACAAGACCTGTTTTTCCTCATATTTGGAATACTGTCTATCGGTGTGGATGATCAAATTGATAAAAGCCAAGAAAAAATTTCGTTATAGCACAAAAGTAAGCTAATTTGATCGTCTTCAAAGATCTATGGCTATTTCACTTTTCGAATCGAGCCGAACTATGCCGGTCGCCATTTTGTTTTGCCCGGAAGTTCTCGCAAGATCTACTCCTCCCCTCTCTCTCTCTCTTTCTGAATACTGTCTATCGGTGTGGACGATCAAATTGATCAAAACAAAGTTAAAAAATGATGTTAAAAAAGAAAACTAAATTAATTTGGTTGTCTACAAAGATGCTACGGCTATTTAACTTTCCGAATCGAGCCGAACTACGCGGGTCGCCATTTTGTTTTGCCCGGAAGTTCTCGTGCTACTCCTCCCTCTTTCTCTTTCTGTCTCTCCACTGCCCACAGACAAAATTGCACGCTTTTAGGCTAACACTAACAGTAGTAATAGATCTAGAAAGTTTGTTCACAGCACAGAATTCTATTAATTCTGTTATCACAGTGTAGAATTTTGTGGTTCAGGGTGAATGTTTCACTGGTTGGCCTAGGCTATAACGGTGAACACCCACCGGGTGAAAAGAGCCAAAAGACTCGCCTGCGCTATTCTCACCCGGGGTGAGAATAGAGGTGGCCCTTACTTACAGACATCTTCATCTCAAATTTTTTGCTCACTGGTTTCAGCAAAAATCGTCCTCTAGTCTAGATCTAGATCTCTAGATCTATATCTTAATCACTCATTTTGTGATAATTTTGGTCGAAAATGAAAGAGTTCAACAACACTAACATTACAATGCGATATGATGGTCCCATGCCATCATTATGCCATAGCATAGGCATAGTTGTATGAAACCTCAGACCGGGTGAGAACAAAATGGATATTATTCTCACTAGGGGTGAGAATAACGCCAGTCTTTTAGATCTAAGTGGCCGTCAGGGTAGAGGTCTAGAATCTAGATCTAGATCTAGATCTAGAGATCTATACTTACATTTTCGAAGAGAATCACTCTTCCTGAACAAGAACTGGTTGTGCAGTAACGGGACATGGAATTTATAACATTAACCAGCTCTACGATTGGTTTATCTATGGACCCCTTGCGCGATAGATCCTCATCTTCAAGTCTGCGGGCTTTTAGTTCGGTAAAATCCATGGTTCATTCAAGCCTCCAATAGATTCAAAATCATAACACAACCAATCAAGACAGACAGAAATTCTAGATCTAGATCTATACTCTAGATCTAAATCTAGATCATAAAATCTTTCTTGACGCAGTGTTGTTAGTAATGTTAGTTGTTTCAATGTTTGCCGTTTGCTCACTCAAATCTTCAGGCAAATTGCCATCCAGCTTTAGCAGTTGGAAATTGAAAACAAAACGTTTGAAATTTCGATGTAACCTAGATTTGAATGTTTATTTGATTCTATCGACTTTTATTAAAATCTTGGTATTTCCCTTTCCTTATATATATTTAAAAATTGGTACATTTTGAAAAGATATGTTTATATGTGTACTATCTTCATCCCATTCGCTTTCCAAATAACTTGTGGAAGAAATAATTCTCTGAGAGAATGAAGTACACGAGTGAAATCAAATCAACGTACAAAGATAGGCCTTACGGTAAATCAAAAAGTGTAACACGCCCTCTTAGTCTCAAATGGTCGGCGAAATAACTGGTCCTGATCGCCTGATCGAAATTCCAGTCAATGTCATAATCGTGTGTGTGGCAGTGACAGAACTTTAGATCAAAGAACATAAGTGTTTCCACTCTCAACCGGTACTTTTTCTTTGATCAAAGGAGTTATTTTTAATCGTGAGTATGAATTCGGTACTTTTTAGGCTCTGTATAAAGTCAAAATACACTTGATAGCATGATGAGTGCGTGGAGATGATGGAGCCGGTACCTGTCCTAGCAGTCGGTGCAACACTGCACTGTGTAGCATCCCTTGTTAGCGTGTATGTAGTGTTGTGTCGTCGTCAAGTTTAGCTTTTATTTAAAACCCATTTCGCTTCAGGTCAGGGTGATAACACTATGATTTAGTTGGATACAATTCTAAAGAACATTTTTAGCCCCCCGGCATTCAACTAGAGAATCTACTGAATTTGACTCTCTAACACTAACTCAAGTTACAGGAACATTACACAGTGTTGTCTTTAAGAATTCTTGGAAAATCATTGACAGTCATGGTGGTATTATTTTGGTAGAAACATAAATTCTTGTCAGCGACTTCTGTGTCACTAGCCAACAGCCTAGATCTAGACAGATGCTAAAAAAAGCAAACTATAAATTGCCCAGTGGCCGGTGGATAGGCCTTTGATACTTTAATTAAATTTTCATGTGTTCATATTTGAACTTTTTTGTAATCAGCCTTGCCTTTTTTATCTCTGTTCTTCAACATCATAGTATTTATGTTGCATTAAATAATGTAGGATCTAGATTTAGATCTAGATGATTGACTATGGACTTCTTTTATGAATCACAGGATCATCTTGTTTGACTTTTGACAATTTAAATATAATCTATGACAATAAGCGAAACGTGTGAGAAAGTATGATCTTGCAAGAAAACCAACTTGTAGAGTTCCAAGTAAGTGGACAGATTAGGGAAGTCGTTATTTTGGGATTCCGTTATTTTTATTATTTTCTTGTCCCCACTGGCATGGCGTTCTCTTCACCTAATTCTACCCCTCTATCAAATTCTTTCCCCTTGTCCTTACATGCACTCTAATTAATGTTTACTTACTTACCACTTTCAGACTGATCTTTACATAGAAGCCTAACACATGTGATGTAGTAGTGTAGGCAAATCCAGAACTCCTGCCTTCATTCTGAACTTAGAATTGTATTCAAGATTATAATTGACTGTGTGTGGCCAGCTATGACATGTATTCTTTACGAGAATAACATGTCTAATTTAAAAAAACTTTTTATGTTTAATTTAGAAATGGTCTTCCCAATTGTCCTTATGTCACTCATTTGATATATATATATATATGTATACTATACACATTATAATCACTGCGTTTACTGCCAAACTTTAATTTAACAATTTTATAGTCATAGTGGATTCTATAGAAGATTCCCCCTTTTATGTTGAAACCACATTGCCTTTTGTTGAAAATGGCGAGATATTAGTTAGTTTTGAAGAACCTTCTTCTATACTTGCTTTTATATAAAATGAAGGTGGCAGATGGTGATACTACTGTTCTCCTAAGAAAAGTTGAACTTTTGCTCACACTATTTGCTTATAGGGGATGCCCGTCGGCGATCATCGTTTAAAGGTTTTAAGTTCAGTTTTGTCAGTTTGGGGCTAGCTGGATTGTCCTTCACAGAAGAGGCAATTATGAAAACTGTCAAAGCTGATGATGACCTTCAATATGTTCAAACATGTTTGTTTTCAAGGCCGCGCGTTGGGTGATTGGTTTGGCCAGTTATTGGTTTATTTATAGTGTGCACTGAAGCCGCCAGAAACCAAATTGAACCAAGCCTCCAATGAGCATCACCTACAAGAGCTGTTAATGATTATCATCTGAATTTCCTAGCGTTTTTGGAGGGGAAGTAAAAGGTGAAGTTAAAGGTAAAAAGTAATTCTTTAACCTTTTGTGTAAGATTATGTACAAAGGAGGTTTGCTTGGTCACCGTTTTGATGTAGCAATTATAGTCTGTTTTGATCAATTAAAGTAGAGATCTTTTATATAAGTTTGTTACATTCAAACAAAATGTGTGACATCTTGGTGAAATCAGGTGGTCATGAAAACTGAAAACAACAATGAAATAAAAGAAATTGGCAATGTTTATCAAACATTTTATTTTTGGTTCTACACCTTTATGTCCATTTAAAAACAAGTTTCTGAAGATTTGAGAAATATTGATCAAAGGCACAACAATTTGCAGTTTCCTAGGACCCTCACCTCAGTCTTTGGAAGTCATCAAACTTTGGCGGCCATGATTTTCTCACTTCATTTACTACTGATGCCAGAAGACCCCCGCCTCCTTCAAATTCAAATATTTCGACTTCTCTTCAAGATAGAGATGGGGGTATTTTTATTAAATCTAAAAGTAAGAGAAGTGAACAAGCTTTAAGAAGATATAACCAAATTCTCCATACGTCCAAAAATTGATGAGTGACTGATGCCACCGTGTCATGATAAAAATTGCCAATTTCTTTTATTTCATTGTGTTCACGAAGGGTGTCTCTATAAATTGGTTTAGCAGCCACATAAAGTTGTCATGAATGAGTAGAGTTTTATGGAGACATTAAAAAAAGGTGAATAGAACAACTTCATTAGAATAGCTCCTGATTTCAGACTGAGGTAAGTAGATCTCTTGTTCTGTTCATCACAGTCACAGAACGTCAACGTTGATTGCCTCTCTGTAAATAAATAGACAGACATTCCTATTCTCTCTTTTTAAAATAAAAGATAATGAATTTGAAGAAAAATAAATGCCTGAACAGACGCAATCGTGCCTAAAAAGTTTCAGTTTGTGGCACTTAGGTGTTTTGTAGAGCAAATGATATCAGGCCTACATGGCCATAAGTGGCTTTCTCGGTTGCCCGCCCTTCCCCGTGTCCCCAAATCCGACCTACGGTACGACTATCGAGTGTTTGGCTGACCCAGACCTTTGCCCCCTTTTCATTGATCAAGAGGCAGGTTTACACGTACGGTCGCGGGCCTGCGTTGCTGCACTCTTGCGCACCAAAGCCTACGTTAGATAGACACTGATGGTTTTTAGAGGGTGCAGATTGCGTATAGTAGGCACAATGACCGCCCCCATTCCGCTTGGAAGCTCGTCGATATTTTTTAAAAAACTGTACAAGTAGTCTTGTGAAAAGAAGTTAAAGTATAGAAGGGGATGACCACAACGGAGCGCCTGATAGCCGCCCATTAGTCCAGCTATACTATAATAATATTCCCTCGCTACTCGACCTCATTCCACCTTCTCCGAGAGTTTATTGACAGCAGGTTACGCTGTTTGCTCAATGAGTGACTACTTAGCCGTCCGTGACGACGAATTAAGATTCTTCGGGGGAGAGAATGTGTGTGTGCGAGAGACCCGGGGAGGGGTGGCAGGAGGAGTTGACAAATTCGTTAGCCTGTAAGGAAATTTGCACTTGAAACACTTTTCAGAGAGAGAGAGAGAGAGAGAGAGAAACAGAGAGAGAGAGAGAGAGAGAGAGAGAGAGAGAGAGTTCATGTTAATTAGATTTTTGCACTTTGAATTGGTCAGTGTGTGTGGCCGGCATTCCTCTCTGTCCATGGTCCATGAGGCGACAAATGGATAGAATACGTTGATACTTCTGAATTGACGTTTGTGCTTGGACTGGAAGTGTGTTGGAGTCTTCGTTATTTTGAAAATGCGCTGTTGAATATTTGTTGTTTGTTAGTTTAGGTACCCGGCAAGGAACTGTTTTCTTTTCCACCTTTTTTCCTCTTCATTTTTAAGGACGGAGAATGTCTCCTCCTCCTCCTCCTCCTCCTTCTTCTTCTTCTTCTTCTTCTTCTTCTTCTTCTTCTTCTTCTTCTTCTTCTTCTTCTTCTTCTTCTTCTTCTTCTTCTTCTTCTTTT